GACAAGGCAAATGGGCCAGCAGGCGCCAAACGTGCAAAGACAGCAACAGCCGCGGCGGCCCCAGTCTCTGCAGCAGTAGCAGTAGCAGCAGCAGCCCCTGTAACGGCGGCGGCGGCGGCGGCGGCTCCGGTCGAGTCGGTTAACGTTGAGAACGCTGGCGTGGATGATGCCGTGGTGGGGCCGCTCGAAGCCGCCGTGGCACCCGCGCCGCCATCGCAGCCGCAGCCGCAGCTGCCGGTGGGAGCTACGACGAAGCCGCCGGCTGGTGAGTTCTGTGGGACCACTTTTGGTTGTTGTTATTGTTATTGTTGTTGTTCACCGTGGTGAATACCGCGCCAAGAGGAAGGAACTTCCTCCTCGCGTCAGCATGTACAGTGCTGGTGAGGAGGATCCGCTTACTCGCTGCAGTAGTAGCAGTAGCACCTTGTTCCAATGGAAAGGTTATAGACCCGCTGATGACGATGACGATGATGATGATGATGATGTTGAGGATCTCTGGGTACAAATAATTTTTTTACCCTTAAGGATAATACCTATAATTGTACTCCAAAAGTGACATTTTGTAATCGTTTTGAGGGCATTATATACAAACCTCCTTGTTTTTGCTGCTGCTGCTGCTGCTGCTGCAACTGCTGTGGTGATTGTGGTTGTGGTGGTGTTAATGGCGGATGTGGATGGAAGGCGGACTTGGTCGTGGTCGGAAGGCCACCCGCACCTACATCAACGATGAAGGCGAGGAGGTGACGGAGGAGGTGTGGGAGGATGGGCCCGCGCCGTTGCAGCCCCTGCAGCCGGCGGCAACGCAAGCGACGGCGGTGGTGGTGACGGCGGCGGCGGCGGCGGCGGCAGCCGCTAAGGGCGGCAGTGGCGGCGGCGGCGCAGCCGCCAAACCTCCAGCCAAGGCACCGGCAGCCACAGGCAAGGCAAGCAAGGTAAGGAGAGATCATGTGGATATGTGTCTTACTGCTGTTGGTCCGGCTGCTGCTGAACCGGTGCGGCTGCTTACCTCTTGATGGTGGCTGGCTGCCTGGCTAGGCTGGCTAGGCTAGCTGCCTCGTTGCGGGGTTTTATCAACCAGCTTACTGGCGGGTGGTGGCCCGACCGGTCGGCCAGGGGCTACCGGGGGACTACGGCAAGCTAGCCCGAAGGCAGGCTGGCAGATGCAGGACACATGCATGCATGCATGCATGAAGTTGCGCTGCACTGCACTGCAAGCTAGGTGCGGTGCGGGGACTTGTGTGTGTGCACCAGTGCGTGTGCGAGCAGTTGTGCAATGACGCCATTTAGTTAAAATCGACGTTACTGTCGCGCACACACACGTACATACATACATACATACATACATACATACATACATACATACACGCGCGCGCAGCGTCATGCGGTGAGGGTGACTGGTAGTGTGCTGCGGGGGACTACTCGTGTGACCTGTGTGTGTGTGTGTGTATTGCCACGCCGCGCAGGGAAGAGCGCCCGCGGCCGGCCAGAAGTCCATGACGGCGTTCTTCTCCAAGAAATGATGGAAGAAAGGAAAGAGCAGGCGGGCGGGCAGGCCGGGTGGGGTGTGTCCCCTGGAGTGCCCTGTTCTTCAAGACAAGGGACGTGGAAAGGGCTTCGGATCGCAACTAAGGGAGGAAGAAGGGGTTAGCAAAGGAAACGGAATGGAAGTTCTAGGCCGGGGCCTGGTTTCTGGTCTGTAGCCTGTCTGTAGCAGATTTGTCTGTACATAGCGGGGGATCTGCAAATTCTTTTCACCTGCCGGGTTTTCTCGTGTGTGTGCGTGTGCGTGTGTGTGCGTCTCTCTATGTGTGTGTGTGCGTGTGTGTGCGTCTCTCTATGTGTGCGTGTGCGTGTGTGTGCGTCTCTCTATGTGTGCGTGTGCGTGTGTGTGCGTCTCTCTATGTGTGTGTGTGCGTGTGTGTGCGTCTCTCTATGTGTGTGTGTGCGGGTGTGTGCGTCTCTCTATGTGTGTGTGTGCGTGTGTGTGTGTGTGTGTGTGTGTTTGAAGAGGAGAGGTAATTAAGAGGCTAGATTTGAGCCACACCTGCTCAAACGAGCTCATAATCTTTTCCCTTGGGGGGAGGCGGCCACCGGCGGGGGACAGAGCCCGGCCTGGAAACTCGTTGCCAGGGAAGCCAGGGAAAAGTTTCTTTTCAAGCTCTTTTCAATCTCCTCGAGAAGCGTTCCAACGAGCGTTCATATAAATGTGTCCAATAAGCGTGGAAAGTGCAAAAAGCGCTCGGAACTTCCGCAACTTCGGAACTTTAGACAGATCCTCATCATCGTGGATTTGTTGGCGAGACAAGACTGCGGTATTGGGGCTAATTGAGTTAATTCGCAAACGTTCCGACAGTGCGCATCTTCCCCTTCAGCAATTTTAGCTTTCTATTACACCGTCCACCCCTGGTATCAGGGGCCCCCTTGTCGGTGGCGTGTGGAGCCCCTCTTCTGCTGTTTTTCAATCGCGCTTCACTTGTCTGTGTATGAGATGGGGCTGATAGCGTGGTGCAGGTAACGTCCTCCTGCAGACCGACCAGGGAGCCGCACAGAGGTCGGCAAATTGGTTTCTACGGCTGCGAGAGGGTTTGATTTCGGTCAGTAAACCAAAAAAATTCTCAAAGTCAAACACAGAGTTCAGCCCGCGGCGCTACGCCGTATCACCGCCGATCACCCAGTCACCGCAAGGAATACACATAAGATATGTTAGCGTACAAGAGTGTACGACACGGGTAGGACGGCAACAAGGGACAGCGCATCGTCTCCGCCGCAGTGGTAATAGTTGTATTAGGAGCGAGGCAGGGGCCACGACTTTTGATCAAGCTGGGGCCTTGAGCCGAATTTCGGCTGCGGGTACTGTGGTATGGACCCACCTCATTTGCCGACCTCTGGACCCACACAGCATGTGGAGAAAAATACAGTGAGACACAGTGCAAAGCCGAGGCGCGCGTTGGAAAAAGACCAAACGGCGTTGCGTGACTTGGTTGCGATTCGGCTTCAGGTTTTCGGCTGACTGTATTAAAGCTCGAAGGATGGATTTCGCAAGAGATCGCTGCCATTGTTTTTCCATTGTAATATTCATCTGATATAGAAAAATTAAACTAAAGGTAATAGATCGTCGTTTTGTTTGTAAAGCCGAAGTCAACATGCTGATGCGTCAGATGACGTGTCACGTGCGTTTCCACGTGCGTTGTTAGTTACTGCTACGTTGGTATACAGCGGCGCCTAGACAAGGGCACCTTCTGACAACGAAGTTATCTGAAGTGTTTATTTATTGCTTGCTTGCGCCTGATAAAGTCACATAACGATTTCACCAATATTCGCGCGCACGCTTGTGATGAGGCCATCTCTACAGATGAGTCCACTTCTGTAGATGCTGTAAAAGCTTTAACATAACGCTTTTGTTGTTGAATCGGCATTGGAACCTGAGTGGATCTGTTGCCACTTCGGCCGACATCCTTGCTGTGTGAACCGAAGTTCCTATCTTTCCCAAATTTGGAATACGATTTAATCTTCTGGTGGGATAACAATTCAACTATGTATGCCGTTTACATGGCTATCGGAAGGAGAAAATACACCGAAAATTGCGATCTCTGTTATTTGGCAAAAGTTATGATTATATGCAAGATTGAGATGCATTCTCTCGTTGTCCCGCAGGCCCGCATGTTCCCTAATAGGCGACGCCTGCCTCTGTCTACATGAAATTACTGGGTCATTTTGTTCCATGCTAGGTCCGGGACGCGTATCACAAGATCTGTTGACTTGCTGAAGATTATAGCTCAAGGTGCGTCCTGGAAGGAAGGAAAGAAGAAAGGATGGATGGATGGTTTTGGCACAGTCGTACTAACAGCTTTGGAAAACGCTCAGCCCCAACTCTCTCTCCCGCACCAAAGCCTTCGCCTTCAAGGTATAAATAATTTAACTCTACTGTGGAAAAACTTATGGTTGCGAGCTGGTTGGCACATCGGTTTTACCTTAACGGCAAATGCTGCGAAGCGAAGAGGCAACCGCCAAGCAACGGCCCATGGAATCTGCCGACCGTAGAGCATCACTTCGCGGCACTGCTATGTGTTGTATAAACATCCTTGATCTTCATAAGAATAATTTGACCCGAAACGTACGTCGAGTTTCCTGGCTACTTCATTTCCGGCTGTCGGCGTTGGCGCCGCGTTGGCAAGCGTTGGCTAGGTATATGATTTGCACATGCAACACCTGTGTACCTCAAGTGTAACAACATACTAAATTTTTACAGGTCTATTCTTTTATAGGTGATGGGAGTGAGTCATGCAGCCACGTGGTCGTCGACTTTGCGCGAGGAAGTAATTACAGATATCCCGTCAGTGCTGAATGACTTACATATTACATCGGTTTTATTGAGTTATTCTGACAATAAGTAGGTACGTGGCTGCGCAACTCCAAATGGGCGGCATGATACGCAAGGCCAAAGGCCTCCGGTTACGGGCCCAAGCACATGGTTGCGGAGCAGACGCGCCCGGGCCCACACCAATTGCACTTTTTCCGCGCGGCCCATAATTTATATGTTGCATTTTGCATTGAATTTATGAGTTTCTTTGCTTACCTGCTTACCACCAGGCATCGCAGTGAAAATGGCATCAGCTGCGCAAGCTGATACCAGTCGCCTACGGAAGCTAAAAATACTCAGTGGAAGACCACTAGGCTGCGGCTCGTTCGCAGCAGTTCATAAAGGAGCATGGGAAGGCCGGCCTTGCGCTATCAAGGTGAGCGAAACTGCGCGAAACGCATTCATAAAAGGAAAGACAGGAAATATCACGAATCGATTTCATTCAACACTGTATCAATTATTTACACCATAAACATCTGAGTATTCATTCTAGCTGCCTGGGGAAGAGCGACATTTCTGGTCCGATCGTATTGGTCCAAGAACGGAAATTCGACTGTTCCTTTCTTCATCTCGTAAGATACAAAAAGGAAAAGGTCTTATAAAAGCAGTGCATGATAGATGCACACGATAGCGAACCCTGATGTTTGCGCCGGGGGTCCTGGTCTTCCCTTGTTCTGGTCTGTTCATCGCCTCACCCCCACAATCCCCCTGTTTCCACCTTATTGGCAGGTGCTCCTGCCCAATCACGCCAACCGCCCGTCGCAGCGGGACCGACCAAATTGTCCCGCTGCAATGCTTATACGAGAGGGCGACGTTCTCATGCGCAACCCGCATAGGTACCAGCTGCGTGCGACAACATGTGGTGCTGTGCTGTGTGCTGTGCTGGGGCCGCACGCTGCGCATCATGACGAATGTGCCTCAAACTACGTTTTGCTATTAGCCTTCACGGGCACTAATGGAAAGACAGCTGCTGTGTACTTAACAGCAGCAAAAAAATGGGGGATGGGGAGAAGTCCGATACCGATATGCGGTGCATTACGCCACCTCTTTACCCCCCCTCCCCCCCAACCCCCCCCCCACCCTGCACACATGCACAACTACCTACAGACAAGCAGACAAGTTCACAAACGCCCCTGCACACACTACTCGTACACACTCGTACTCCTGCTGCTGCGCTTCCAGCTCTTAACTGTAAAGGTTACGAACTTTACAGGGACTGACATACGGTGCACCATGCCTGCCCGCCAACCTCGCGCAGGTTCCTACCTGGCTGCTTTGCCGTACTCGAACTGCCCCCCAGCTTTCCCGGCCTGCTCCCCGGGTATACGTCCCCCGCACCGGCCCTGGTCCTGGAGCTCCTGGAGGTGTGTCTGTCTGTCTGTGTGTCTGTCTATATGCCCATCTGTATGTGTGTCTGTAATCTGCGTGCATGTGCGTGTGTCTGTTTGTCTGTCTCTTTTAAGACTGAGCGTATGTGTGCTTCGTTGTGTACTTTAGAAGGGGATTTAGCTCGAGCTGTTACGCCGGATGTTCGGATGTGGAGAAGTACGAAAAGTACGAAGGAGGAATGCAAGGCGTCGTCGGTCGTCGTCTTTTTCCCCCCGTCCCCTCCTTTGCCGTCCCCGCCTCCTCCTCCCCCTCCTCCTCCTACGGTCTCGAACCCAAGAACTGATGCAGCTGAGCGTTGCTGCCTTGTTGCAACTTTGTTTGTCCTGCTGTTCCCTTCCTCTTGCCGCAGCGCGGGTCTCTGTCCGGACTTCTGCGTACACAGGCGATAAGGCCATGGAAATTCATGTATGACGATGTTACGGCACTGACGTGGAGTATTCAAGTTGCGAGCGCGCTGGCGCACCTGCACGGACTCAGCCCCGCTGTTATTCACCGGGATGTGAAACTGGAAAACGTTCTCCTGAAGGCCGAGTCGGATGGAGATGGAGCCACGGCACAGATGGCAAAGCTTGTGGACCTCGGGCTTCACGTGGTAAGTAGTTTATTTAGTGTTTTCCGAAGGGGAAGACTTTGGCTCCCCTTTAGGGGATGACTGATGACAAGGGGAAGACTTTCCTAAAGGGGAACTAAAGAATGCAACCCTAGTATATTTAATTCATAATACTTGGAAGTGCATGGAATTCATGGAATTCATGGAACTCATAATTCATAATACTTGGAAGTGCACAAACGTGTAAGGGATAGGATCTGAAAGTTCAGTTTGTGAAAAAACGAAGTGCAGCTTCCTTTCATGGATTCATCGTTGTCCGCGTTTTCTTCCCGGCCGTTCCGGACATCGCAAACTGTTGCGCTTTCTCGACTAGCCGCTTTTGATTTTGTATGCATTTCTTGCTTTACCGATTATGTACTCCCAAGTGAAACAGCGACAAAACATTCTTTGCGTAAAGCACAACACTTTGGGATGCATTGGAAGCATGAACAGGCATGAACGTGCAAAACGTTCCGGCAATCAGGGCTTTTCATCCCTCGGTTCCCGTGCCTTACAATTCCACCCTACATTTCCGCTTCCATTCCTGTTCTGCAGGTTCCCGCGCATCTTCCGGATCAGCATCGCCAACAACATCTCTTCCGCGCCTCCAGGATCTCCCGCAACTCGGCGGCATCGCCCTTCACAAGCACTTCCGTTCCCCCGGGCGGGGGCGAAATGAGGCCTTTCTCTGCAGCTTTTGAGAGCGTTACATACTCCGGAGGCGGCTGCAGTTACGGCGATGATGACAGTAGTCGCAGCTCCAGCAGCGCTCCCGGGCCCTTTTTCGCGCGGCTTGCAGGATCCAATCGTTTGATGCCGGTGGATCCTAAATCCCCAGGGCTCCGAAACCGCAACGCCGAGCTGCTTTTCTTAGATGATGGGAAGGCAGACCCCATGGTTCCGCAGAAATCATCATGGTCTATACGCGTTAAAGATGGGGGGAGGCTCAGTAGGGACGGCGACACCGGCTGCGCTGGTTGCCGCAGTAGCAGTTGCAGCAGCAGCAGCATCGTTCTCCCCTTAGCGCCGTTTGAACTCAGCGGCCTGTCAGTACCGCTGCGCAACCCGACTTGTAAAGATCGTGTGGTTTTGCTCGCGTCGGTTTCGGAGGCAGCGGCGGCGGCCGCGGCGGATGGTGGTGATTGTAGATTAGCGGAAGTGGTGGCGGCGGCGGCGGCGGATGGTGGTGATTGTAGATTAGCGGAAGTGGTGGCGGCGGCGGCGGCGGCGGCGGATGGTGGTGATTGTAGATTAGCGGAAGTGGTGGCGGCGGCGGCGGCGGCGGCGGAAGGCAGCGGAGCTTCGCGCCGTGTGTTGGCTCCGTCACCGTCACCAACGTCATCACCCCGACCAACAGTGCAGGACGCGGAACAGCCGTCAGGACGCAGCGTAGAGGGGGAGGACGACGACTGTGAAGGCGGCGCGTCCCCGGTACGACAGTTGTCACAGTTCGATGAAGGAGAAGATCTTCCGCAGGTTCCGCCGCCGCCGCCGCGGCCACCGCCGCCGCTGGCCCTGCCCCAGTCGTCGCCGCCCCGCCGCCCCGCCGCATCCACTGCAGCCGCCGTCATCACCGCCACCTGCGCCACCCCGAACTGGTCCTCGGGCGACAGGGGCAGTGTCGCCGTACTTTTGGATCCAAGCCGCATGGACAGCACCGGGCAGCTATCTGACGCGGCGGCAGCGGCAGCTCCGACGAAGGCGGCGGCGGCGGCAGTGGTGTCTAGCTGCGTCACCTTGATTGTGAATTCGGGGGCGGCTGCGCTGTCGGATCCGCCCCCGCCTCCGCCACCGCCTCCGCCACCGCCACCGGGCTCTCGGATGGACGGCGTCGACGCCAAAGGCGGCGGCGGAAGTGGTGGCGAAGATCCTGGACCTGCCGGGATCAGCAGAGGCTGCTCGGCGGAAGTGGTGACGGCGGTGTCGGCGGCGGACGGCGGCGGCGGTGACGGCGGCGGTGGGGGGGAAACTAACCTGCAGTCGCCGGTGTGTGAACAACGGTCGCCGCTCACTTCCGTGCCGTCAGCTGTCCCGCCGGGCAGTAACGTAACGTTGCTACAGCCGCCGCCGCAGCCGCCGCCTCCATCGGCAGCCAACGCCACCGCCGCCCAGGCGAGGCTCCTGCCGTACGAGCCCTCTGTACTGTACGAGTCAGTGTACCGCCTGACGGGAGTGACGGGCTCACACATGTCAATGGCGCCCGAGGTGTTCCAGGGTTTGCCGTACAATGAAAAGGTGGGCGGGTGCGGCGGCGGCGGCGGCGGCGAGCACACATACACACACGTATATGTTTTATGTTGCTTCATGCCGCATTATGGTTGCGAAATGACTTTGGTATTCACGAAGGCTTCTTTATGTTCTCTTATCAATACTGCTGTAGCATAAAAATGTGCTACTCTTTAAAAAATGTTCTTCAAAGTCTGCCTGGCTCATGCCGTACACGTACTACAACCTTTGCTTTGCGCCCATTGCAGCGGCCCCATGCCTTGGGCCCCTCACCTCACCTCCCTTTCCCCTTCACCCCCTCACGTACAGGCTGACGTGTTCAGTTTCGGTGTACTGCTGTACGAGCTGTTCAGTCGCTCCATGTTGATGGTGACGCACCTCAAAACCCGCGTGACGGGGGTAAGCTCCGGGGGTAGTACGGGGGTAGTACGGCGGCGATGTACGGAAGGGGCGTCAGGATCCCACCCCGCCCCACCCCGACTTGACCCGGGGGGGAAAGGGGGGGGGTAATTATATACGGATTGGTTTGTTACCAGCTGGAGGTAGCTGGAGGTAGCCCAGGGAGGGGTCCAACCGCCCAACCGCCCAACCGCCAACCCCTCTTATGCACAAACGCACATGGCGCTTCTCTCCCCCCCCTTCATATTCCCCCTCCCCCCCATCCACACCTAACACCTTAATAACCCCTCCCGATCTCTCTCCCCTCCCCGTCCTCCCCCTCCCCTCTTTCCCTACCGCCACATGCTCATGACACATACATACATACGTATACACATACACATACACGTTCACACGCCGGCAGCTGTCCAGGCCGCTGCTGCAGCCCAGGGAGTACGCGGAGGCGGTGTCCGAGGGCTACCGTCCCTCCCGCCCCTCCGCCATCCCCCGCCCCGTGTGGGGCCTTATCTGCGCATGCTGGGATCAGGACCCCGTCCTACGACCCGCCATTAAGGAGGTGGTGGCGCAGCTTGAGGCCATAAAAAAGGAGCTTGAGCGAGCCGGAGGCGGCGGTGGTGGCGGCGGCGGCGGTACCGGCGGTAGTGTTGTACGGCTGGGCGGCGGCAGGGCCATTGCCGGCCGGGGCGGCAACGGCAACGGCAACAGCGGTATCGGCCGGAGCCCTCGAGTCCAGATGAACACAGCGCCGTCGCCGTCGCCGTCCCGAGGCTGCCCGGATTGCTGTGTGATAAGTTGACGGGACATGGGGGGGGGTGTATTGGGGGGTGTATGTATGTATGTAGAATGGGACAGCTGAGTTGTCACCTTGCCATTGGCTCTGGGGGTGTTGGTGCTGCTGGTGTGTCTATGTCTATGGTAACCGGGTGCATGACCCTCCATGACCCCACCACCCCCTCCCCCTCCCCCTGGCGGTGCTCGGGGTTGGGGGCTCCAGCCTTGGTGGTTTGCGCAGATCTTGTCAAAGATCAGAAGAGAGAGAGAGAGAGAGAGAGAGAGAGAGAAGCGCCTAAAGGAAGTGGGAGAGGGGGAGGGGGAGAAAATAAGAGGGGGAGTGTGAGAGAGAGAAGAAGCGGGGTTTTAAAACCCTACGAAATTCCTTGTATCTATTTATTGTTAATTTGTTGGATTTGTTGTGATTTGTTGTGAAGAGGTTGTTTTGTTGCCATTCAGTTGTACGTTGTGTTGTATATGTTTGTATGCCTGGGGGGGAAATTGGTGTAGGTGCATGTGCATGTAAGCAAGGCCGGGCGGTGCAGTAGCTTAGTACGGAAAGGAGTGGTGAGGGGGAGGAGGGAGATCAAAGACATGCTGCATGCTTTGGGGTTCTGTGGTTCTCACGGGGGGTAGGGGGGAAGAGATGGAGATGGAGATGGAGATGGAAGGGTAGCTGGTGGGGGAAACATCCGCAGGCGCGCGGGGGCGACAGTTTGCATTCAGTGTCAGGGCCAGGTGGTGAGCAAGATAACAAAAGTGTTCTATTCTTCCTCTTTTTACCTCTGCTAGTAATGTGACTTACTATGTCCTTTTCGTGATACCGTTGCGCGGTAAGGGATGGGGCTCTGCAGCCGTGTGGAATGTGCGCGTACGTATGTATGTGTGTGTCGTGTAGCAGGCGCGTGTGTGTGTATGTGTCGCGGAGGATGTGTGTCTCGCGCGGTTCGCGACGGAATCCCCCCTCCCCCGGAGAGCACCTGAACACACCTCATTAGACACTCTGATGTGTGGAGTCAAATGATCTCCTTTCTCCCCCGGGGGGGGGGGCTGTGGCGTCTCGCGTAAGTGCCGTAAGTACCTACGTGGCGTCGCTGTGTCTGTTTTCTTCCCTTCAAAACATATTTTTTAAATGATTTTTTAAAATCTGAAACCTTTCTTGCTTTCAGATTTTTTGCACACGTGCTGGTGGTGGTCATAACAGCCCTACCTGCTGTCGTACTTCTTCAAATCTTTGTATGTCCATATACGGCTTCTCCCCAGGGGGCCTTGTTCCCTATTGTATATCATTGTTAATACTATATTGTTATGTATTATAAATTATTATGTATTGTGCAAACGTAGCAAAAAAAACTAAAATGGCCCGTTCTTCGGGGGGGCCTTCTCTCTTGTACCTGACCATCCTACATATCTGTCTGTCTGTTTGTCTGTCTTGTTGTCTGTCCGTTCGTCGTCTCACTCATCCTTTCGTACATTATTGTGTGTGATGTGAGGCTCCTTAACGTAACAGGCACGGGCTGCTCTGCTCCCCCCTCTTCCTTCGAGGGTATTATGCAGGGTTGTCTAAATTCTTTTTAATTCCTGGGACTGAACCCCTTTCCCAGTACGCTTCCGCAAGCAATAGGTGCAGAGGGTGAGGGGCGGAAGCAGGGGATGATTTTTACGCTAACGGTCTGCTGCTACTGCTGCTGCTCTGCGGCTGCTGAAGGTATTAGGCTGTAGCTGAGGGTGATGATGCAGTCAGGGCCGGTAAATCGGTCACGACGACGATGATGATGATGATGGTGGTGATGATGATGATGAGGCACTACAGCAGGAAATGTTCGCGTGATGCTCTAATGCCTGTGTCCCTCACCCGCTTTTCCGTCCTCTCGTCCGCGTCGTTGAAATAATAAAATACCTGGCTTTGCTTTTGTGAATTCATTATATGTCAAGGCTCCGAAAACTTCCCAATGACGGTCCCGGTCAAAGTGCATCCTGGTGGTGGTGGTGGTGGCGAGTCTAGGGAGGCTGGAGATTTCTGTTTTCGAGGGACGCAGTTGCTCTGAGTGGTGTGCCCTAGATCCGGTTTGCCTTCAACTATGTAACGGTGGGGAAGGCGCCACAAGGTGATGGTGGTGGCGTTGTTGGTCTCGATGGTATGCAGGCCCAGGGGGAGATGTCGCCGAAAGTGGTTGTAACCTTTGCAGAGTGATGGCCATTGAGGTTGCGGGAGCGTGTGTGTATGCGTGTATGTGTGGTGCGGAGGTGAAGAGGCACAGATGCATGCAGCTTTTTGCTGCTCATCTTGACCCTCGTGCGCACGTACATCGATCCCATCCATCCCGAATTAAAAACATATTATTAATGTTAATGTATTAAATCTATAGTTGACTTGACGCGATGGAGCGAAGCGATGGTATCCTGGTCGGAGTCTGGGGTTCTCTGCGACTGTCTACAACCGCGGTCGAGTGTCGAGCTTGTTGCATTTCCACTCGCGCGTTTCGGGAGCATTCTGCCTTTCACTCAGTAGAGCTTCAGCTTTTGTAGCTGCTAGGAGCCCCGCTCCGCTCCACATCGCGTGCGTAATCACCAGAATCTTCTTCACTCCTGCACTGTAAGGGCCGTTGGCAGCCAAGTCCCCGCGCTCCCCTTTGTCGCTCTCTCACAGCTCGTTTGTTCCGTTCAGCTTCGGCAGAGCCACGAGGTTACACAGGTTAATACGGGGGACATGAGCACAGGAAAGTACCGGCGGTAGCCCCGGGGGGTCGATTACCGCAAGAGACAGCCTCAAATATGTGTGTATGTGTGCCTACTCTTTGCTTGCAAGCACATCCTTTGAATTTTCAGAAATTTGGTACCCCTCCGCAGTGGCGCAGCGGGGTACACATGAAAGGAGGGAAGGCAGCAGTACCGGCACTACCACCACCACCACCACCACCATCCATCTATCCTCCCTTCTCTAGCCAGCCAGACGGCCAGGCGGTCAGTCAGTAATGATGAGTGTCACTCTCTTCTCTCTCTCTCCCCCTCCTCCCAAGCACGGAGGAGGGACCACATGTGCAGTTAACACATCCACCGACGGACAGACAGACCGACAGACCGATGCACGCACACGCCTGCGAGAGCGTTGGGAGAGATCACCATCACCCCAGCCACCCATCCCCATCCCAGGAAAATACATTTGTGTGTTTTGACAGAGACCTGTGGACACCCGGGCATCACGGCCTCCTCGTACTTTCAGCCTCTCTTCAGCCTCTCTTCAGCCTGGAGAGAGCGGCTTGTTTTTTCTGTTCCGCCTCCCCTTCCTCCCCCTCTGCGTGCTTTGGCAGGCTTTTTCAAATTACGACAATCAGATTTTGGTGCTCCAAGTAGGATTTGAACTGGTGCTGGAAGACTGGCCACTGCCGCTCTCCGACCGACCACTGGGGGCCCCCTGATCCGGCTGACCGAAAGGCAGCTCCACCTCCTCCGCTGCCGCGTAGAACGACTCTATGTCCTGAACGGCCGGTTGGAAAATCCGGAAGAAGGGGGGGTTGATCTAATGATTGCTCAGCAAGCTGATTGGGGTGGCATGGGTGACACAATGGCATTGAATGGCGCTATCTGGGCAACATCTGGGCTCTATCCGGCGCGGGCACACATCCCATTTGGACCTCCATGTAGAATTCGAAGGTTACCAGATCTGGATTCCGAAGAACCCCTCTCTCTCTCTCTCTCTCACACACACACACACACACACACACACACACTCTCTCTCTCTCCCTCCCTCTCTGCGAGCTTTAAACATTATATTGTTCTGTTTTATTGTTGGGGTCCTGTATCGTCACTCTCCATCCTGACCCGCCCCCTCTCCATCCCATCGATACACGCCCTCTGTGACCATCTGGGTCATCGTCCTCAACCCCGTCCCCGGTTCCATAGGGGATATAGAAGCAAAAAAAACCATTGACCCAAATCCCCAATTTTGAATTTGGTACATTCGAAATCCAAATCCTCACAGCCCACCAGCCGCTAACGTGGGTCCGGTCCTACACGAATTCGGGTTCCATCCCATCTGGGTCATCGGCATGTCTCCAAATATTTACTTCACATTTTTCCTTTCTGTTTGTCGGTCCCTACTTCCAATCCTCCTTTGCGCAAGGCTTGACGGCATCGCCCGTCCGCCTAATCCCCAAATGCAAACATACATAACACACAAATACTCTCTCTCTCGTGCAAGTGGACAAGTCTCCCCCTCCCCCCCCCCCTCGCCTAACACAGTTTCCCCGCTGCCGCATCCCGACTCACGTAGTACTCCCGCTGCTCGTTTGTGAAGAGGTGAAGCACAACATCACCAAAATCCTGTGCGGTGATTCGAATAATCAAAATCATTCCTAAGGCAATAGTAGGAGATTGGTAAGGAGTTGTGCGGAAGGATGGAAGGATGGGCCGACCGGGGACGATGGACGTGTGCAGCGTAAGTCAACGATCGAAGCGACCGAGACAAGTGAAAGAGTTGTGAGACCCAATGAAGGTGTAGTTGCTGTGATACAATAAAACCATTTCACGACAACGCTGGACATGTCAGCACTGTCCTATACGGCATCCGGGGCAAGCCAAGGCAGGCATACATACGAGATGTACATCACATCACAAGCCTTACCAAGGTTTCCCAAGGACTAGACCCGGGCAGATTGAGCCGCGCACGTCCGAATTGCTCTGAGGCGGCCTTCTCCACGCGAGCGAGCGCCGCAAGCAACTGCGGCTTGCTGAACACCGTGGCAACAACTAAAAAACTTGTCCAGCTCACAACTAAAGAAGATATGCATCGCAGGGGAAAGGAAAAAGCATGTGAAGAACATCGGCCTGCACTATTTGTCGGCATGCTTCCGTTCTGTTGAAACTGCGCACCTGGCGCAACGTCGAGAACCACAATATCCGAGCATTTCACCTCATCTACAACACGTGCGATCGCAATTGCGAATTGCTTCGAGTCCTCGTCGCCCGGTGCTCCTTGAGTCCTGGCCGCCTCAAAACTAACTGTGGCCCTGGCTAGACCGGTAAGACGTTGCTTTTCCACAAAGTGCTGCGAGTTGTGCCGAGGCACGGCCCTCACGGTACTACTCGAGCTACTCGAAGCAACTAGATGGAACAGCGTCTGCTGCGGTGTGCGCATCTCCGACCGAAATAAAGGGCGAGCGCAACTCGCCTGCCTCAAAACACAAGCCATACTGCCAGTCACTTCCTTCAAATATGTGTAATGAACATATATACCTGTCTCTGTATTGGACTACGCTTGTGTATGTTCCAATCGGTTGGCATTTGCAAAAGCCGTACCACCGAACCGAAGAACGACGAAAATACCAAATCAAACGGTTCATCAGTGTCACAGTAAGATCCTCCCTATCGAAAATTTCCAGGCCGTGCGCCGGGCTGGAAAACCATACAACAGGAAGAATTGGCGCAGCGGCACACCAGCGCGTTGCCCATATGCCCCCTGCTGCATAAAAATCCTTCACCGCCACCAACACCTTTTCACGAGACCAGGCGCGGCCCCGCCGTCGCCATAAGCGCGATGGTAGCCCCTCCCTTCTAAAACTACAAAAGAGAAATTTACAATGTGTCATCAGTACACATACCGGAAACGAGCAGCGCCACACGACCTAAAAACACAACGCCACCGCGTCCCCGCCGCTCTCAAGGTTTTCCCCCCCACGCCCCCGATGCATCGCCCCCTTCCT